TAAATTCCCAAAAAGGTAAAAAAAAAAAAAAAAACACTGCCTCTGGTTATTTGCTATGTGTTTTGACAAACAAAAACATCAGAAACCGTTCTCTCTCTATTACACATGCACAAGTGCACGTAAAAACAATCCTTCTATTCTTAGCCCTTATTATTGAGTCTAGAGATCATCCTTGTTGTGGTGAGAGTATCCCAGCAACCACATCCAGATATTGAAGGATTGAGTGTCATAGTGATGATGTAAAATGACTTGTGTCTATAACGGTCACTTGAATGGATAATGCCTGTTATTGGTCAACTAATGACTTTGAAAGTACAAAACCGATCTATGTTGCATGAAATTTTGAATAAAAAGATTAAAAACACTGCAGGCAATTCAGTATAAATGACATACAATTTAAAAGTTACAATTAGTAAAAACATATAAAAAGGCATATCATATAGACTAATTTTAATACTAGTGAATGACAACATGGATCCTGTGTGCTATTCCTGGGAGAAGAAAAACTAAACATTTTTCCTTAATGCTGCCATGTCAAAGCTCTGCTTTTCAACTGAATTTAAAGGGATAGTTCACCCAAAATAAGATATTTTGAAGAATGTTGGTAAGCAAACAATTGACGTAGCCATTGACTTCCGTAGTATATTTTTTCCATACTATGGAAATCAATGGCTACGTCAACTGTTTTGTTACTAACATTCTTCAAACTATCTTCTTTTGTGTTCAACAGAAGAAAGAAGTTCATACAGGTTTGTTGACACCCTTATGGTGTTCAAAAACATAGAACATATTTTGAGAAATGTCTCAGTATTTTATATTCGCAGAATAACTTTTTGGTTACCAAAATACTTCAAAATATCTTTTGTGCTCAGCAGAAGTAGAAAGTCATACAGGTTTGGAACAACATGAAAATTCTGACATTTACAATGTTAGAAAGGCATATTTATAAAGCCAATGGTTTGTCAGATTTTAGTTTAAAACTTTGTGGAATGCAGTTAAAATAAAATGTAAACCTAAGAGAACAGTCATCCTCATGTGCTAATCATTTAGTAATCTAAATCTGATCAATTTTGAAATATAAAAACAAAACCCATGCAATGCAACATGCAAAAATTAGTATCATTCATATGATTGGAGAGTAAGCATAGTGTGATTCTTACAATAAAATCAACAGTTAGAATTAATATTCATATAAAGAAGTCAATAAATAAAGTCACTGAGGAAATATCATGACATCTTTCCTTTTGTAGAGCCACAGCTGCATGTACTCTATAGTAGGAAATCTCTCCACTAAAATATGAAAAAGAAACTCTCCTTTGGTCCCTCTCACCAAGTTGATCCTACAAGTCCCGAACTAGAGCCGTTGTGAATGTGTTTAATCTAAGATTATGTCACTGCAAAAGATAGCCCACCACAGTATCTGTATACTTAAGTACTTGGTTTTACGAACGCACTGCATGTTTATCTGAATCCCCGAAAGTCTCTGAATAAGTTCTTAGTTTTGTGCTAGTCTAAAACGAATGAGATGCGAGTATCTGAACAAAAGTAATGCAATATTTCAAGTGAGAAGTAAAGCACAAGTGCAGTTTTGCACTTTAACTGTAAACCTTCACTAACACTATCTACAGCTTATCTGCCCTTTATACTCTCGTGCCTAAAAGTGCATGAAAAAACATACAACCAATGTCAACAAAACACTTGATCACTGCACTGACGGTTTCTAAAAATACAGCTGTTCCCTGAAAACACTTGGAATCACACCCTGCCCCCCTCATCTAGCATTATTTTGATGGCGGCCATTTAAATTGCGCAGGGATGACTGTTACTGGAGTCTGCAGATGCCACATCATCCAACACACTCTTACTGATCAGGCTTTGCAAGCCCTGCATTCACAGAAACCTCCCTGTCTTCTTCAACACTAACTTCAGGTTCGGTTACCACAGCAGGCGAAACTTCACCACTGAAACCGATGAGCTCCGTCAGAAGCAGGCTCTGTTCTCTGTGCGGGTGCGTGCATGTCAGTCACACGATCTCGTCTGATTCCAAGCTGTACTCCTCATAGACAGCGTCCAGGATAGACAGCTGCTTCTCCATAGCTGGCAGGTAGATATCCAGGTCTCGATGCATGCCGGTCATAAAGCCTTCCTTCAGCTCATCGCCTTCATGAGAAACCAGAGCAGCCATGAAGTCCTCATAGGACGGGGCGGCCCGTAGAGCCAGCTAACACACACAAACAACCATATAAACAGAGTCAGAAAGGCGGGTTGAATGCATGTTATGTTTTTCCAAAGCTGTATATTATTTTATTTTCAATGGAACACAAAAGGACATTTTTAAAGAATCTATGCACAGCCTGTGCTAAAAAAAACGATCAATCATGACAACTATCGGAATAGTTTTGCATTGTAATGGACATGCCGGTATTAATGTATTTGGTCTTGGTGGAATAGATCAGCTATGCTGATGCACCTGCTGCAGAGCAAGTACAGAGACTTGCTACTGCCAATACATCCATAGACAAGCTGCTGTGAACATCTAGCATACATGAAAATACCCATAGCAGATCTATATGGGTGGAGCTGGGGGAGGGGGAGGGTTTCTGATGGTGTGCTACAAGACTTCCTTACAGTAAACACAGATCAAGTCTATTTAAATGTTAAGCAGAAAGCTCATTGAACAATCAGCTCATGCCATGTTGTGATGATGTAATTGTTAGCAGATTGCATTATCAGCTTTAGAGAATGACTGCACAAGATATTTCATAGTTGGCCATAAAATAAATAAATACATACATACATTAAATGGCATATATATCTACTCTATACTGTCCTATCGCAATAAAATGCCAAAAATAAAATCTAAAAACAAAATGGTATAAATACATAACCCCACACATAAAAAAAATAAATAAAATAATAGATAGATATTGTAGACACGAACTGATAAGTGGTGGGAATTTGATAGGATCCTCAATACCATTTTTTTTAGTTAAAATGAAGAAAGAAATTGTTAATTAATGGCCACAATATCTTGTTTTTCCCCCCTGCATGTCATGTGCAGGGCTCCATACTTTTATTTTTTATTTCATTGGTTTATTTGTTTTATTTATTTGTTTTTGGACTAATTACTTCTTTATTTTTTAATTGGATTTGCCCTTTTTGAAGCTTAGCAGCCCTGGTTATTATTATGCTTGTATGGCAAAATTACATAAAGTTTCTTCAAAAAGAAAAAAAAGAAAAAAAAAGCAGAAAAAAATAGAAAACAAATCAATTTTGGTATTTGACAGAAACATAAACAGAACATGGAGCACTGACACAAAGATGTCTAATTGTTTCATTTTTTTTAAATGGAAAAACATCACTCATAACACAACACTTACTGCAAAGACACCTCGATCAGCAGGAGACATTACAAAGCACTGATAACAACATCATAGGTGAAGGACAGTTGTTTGAACCAGGTGTTATTTTCAGGTGCAACGGTTTCAAATTTGATCATGTGACTTACTAAGAGCTCCCTGGACATCCTTCATCCCTGTATTGATTTCAGAAAGGAATTCTTTGAGGAACCTGAGTCCACGTTTAAGCCACAGCAGCGCTTCTGTGGCCGAGTTCCGCACCTGTGCCACCTCCATCTCCACCTCATGCAGCACGATGCTCTGTAGGGTGGGGAAATTCTCTGGATCGGACACCACCTTCTGTTGGATTTTCTGATGGGAGAAAATAAGGAGGATCAACTCACAGACCAAGCTATTATGCCCTCTAGTGGTTATGGTGTCATCCCAAATAAATACAGACAGTGAATGTGTGGACCTTGTTGAACCTGTTAAATACTACAGTTGATTACTCTTGGCAAAAAGTTCTGACCTCCAAAGCCATAATTCACATACTGTTATATGCAAGGAAGCTCATTACAAACCAGCCTCAAAGTCATCACGGGTTTACTTTGAGTGCTCAAACATATTAACCAAATATTTTCTCTGACAACAATTTGTTGATTTGCTTAAACATGATGCATTCTGATTCACTTTGGTTTGATTATATTGGTACAATTTAAAATTAATTTCACTAATATGCTGAAGACACAAATACACAAGTTTGTAGAATTTATAATTTGGAATACTAAAAAAGAAAAACAATACTCTAAGTTTTAAATTTGATTTTTTCCAAGCATATTAAGGAAAAAATAAATGGGTAATTATTACAGATGATTAAATTGTGTATTGAATGTCATCCTAGTGAATCTATAATCTGTAAACCCATTAGTCATGTAATTTAAAATATGCCACGTATTATTTACAGTTCTTACTTTTATTAAAAAGAGGATGCAGTGAGTCTTGAAAAATGTCATTGCTTGCATGTTACACTTACCTTAATGTTTCCCACAAAATCTATTTTAACTGGAGCAAAGACAGTTGGTCCAAGCTTGTCTGAGGGGAGAAAGCCTTTGTAAGTACTATGTCGTTTAAACTGTTATTTTCTGGCTAAACATACATTACTGTTCAAAAGTTTAGGGTCAGTAAGACCCTACTGAAAGAAATTAATACATTCATTTAGTAAAGATGGATTCATTGATCAAAAGTGGCAGTAAAGACTTTTACATTATTACAAAAAAAAAAAAAAATTAAAATAAAATAACAGCAGCAGTAAAGACTTTTACATTATTAAAAAAAAAAAAAAAATCATATTTTAAATAAATGACTTTGCCATCACAGGAATTAAAAAAAAGTTATTTTACATTGTAAATACATTTCACAATTGTACTGTTTTTACTGTATTTTTGATCAAAGAAATGCAGCCAGGTTAAGCATAACAGACATCATAAAATCTCACCAACCCCCACATTTTGCATGGTAGTGTATACATGGGTCAAAGACGAAAAAGGGTTTAAGCATAAAAACAATG